AACAAGTGCATCGCTACTAGTAACAAGTGCCTTACTAGTAGTAACAATAAGCACAAGTTTACCAGAGCTTGAAGTGATGCGCCAGCAGCGGAGTGCCGCCATATGCCGCCCTTTTCCTCTGTGCAAGGGGGGCCTCTGCAAGTTGTGTCCTTTAGGCTCTGCTGTTCTACAGAGCTGGAATATTTGTTATATGTTTACGATGCCAAAACATGAGCTCAAGAGACACTGCGCAGTTTTTCGGATCAAAAAACAACTTGATCCATTGTTCCAGCTGCGGTAGCGCTGCTCTTGAACTCTGCTTCGCGGAGCGTAGTAAAGCTGGGGCAGGAGCATCCGTTGTGGTCGTGGTGGTACGCAAGGAGAGGAGCTGCGGTACCTGGACATGCAGACCCAGGACATCAATGGGCATCCCACTAAACACTTCCCACGAATGTACTTCTCTTATGAAACACATTTAAATCTACTTCTCCATACTTTTTTCATGATCATACATGGTCTGGGAAGGCTATCTGGGAATGCTGAAGAATTTCAGGCCGATGGCGAAAAGACCGAGCCTAGGAGCCATCGGACGCTACGAACGGGGCTCAATGCATCAACTAATTTGCAACTCCCCGTTCCAACCAGGAAGATGCTGCAAACACTTGCTAATAAATCACTTGCGCAGTGTGAGGTTCAGAAAAAACACCCTTCGCATGCGCATGTTTTGAACCTATGTGCACCACTATGTGCACCCTTGAAGTCCTCCTGTAGATGTTGGGGTTCGAAGGTTCCACTCACAAACATGTCTAAAGGCAACATCTGCGGTCGCACGCCCAAACGCAACTCCATCGATGGTTCAATCTGTGCCTGGGCTTGAAGGCGGAATGGAAACGTGTGGTGCTTTAGGTGCTTCCTGTCTGTTTTGGACCCCACACGTTGATTGAGACGGAAGCAGAATGTCATGACATACATAGTGCCTTTCCCAACTGTTTGTGAGAACTGAACTATCTTGATTGATGCTTCAGCAAAACAACACGTCTACACGCACACCTTTAGGAGGGATGTGGGAAGAATGATGAATCAATCAACAATTATTCACCGCGTTCTCTATTCTTTCCACAAGCTGAGTATCGGTTCTACTCACCAATGCTTATGGCTGTCTGAGACACCAACGTTGATGCTTGCCAAGAGCGGATTCAGACCTTCACTCAAAGCGCATCAGTTCCGCGAGCTGTCCTACAAGTTTTCAATCCCTGCCCAAAACATGCGTTCGAATCTGTTTGGAAAGGCGACCCCAAATGCTAGGTTGGAGTCGGTCAAAGGCCATCGCTAGTAGCTTGGAGGCCATCGCTCTTAGGTTGGAGGCCATCGCTCTTAGGTCATCGTATCTTAGGTCTGCGTTTTTGTTCCAGATCCGAGTTCTAAGGCCTTGTATGGCCGTGGGAGGCCTTTCCTTTTTCCTCCGTGCTGACTGGCGCTGGGGAACTTTCACGCTTACACGTCGCCCCTTGTCCCTGACTGAGCGTTTAAATGCTAAGGTCTCCGATTCAGAGAGCCTCTTCGAAC